ATCTGCAATGTATCCACGATCAGGATTTGCTCATCCGTCTCCACGCAAGCACATATGATCATTCCTGACTAAATAAGGATTAAAATTATGTTGTTGATTGTCGTTATAAAGCATTTAGGTATTGCCGTTAACTTTGTGATGAAAAAAGGAGAGAGAGGGCGACTCCTCTATTTGACCGGAAACTTGCGCGTATAAACTTCCAAGAGTCTATTCGTCATCACTTCTTCAAGAAGCCAAGTCCAGTCAAAACTTTACACCTCAGGCCTGCACCCTCCAAAGTCCAAATCCAAAGCTCTTATTGCTTAATTTTCTTCTTCTCCTTCCTACCCCTTTTAATTAGCTTCCCCGTTTCCCCTTCTTCTTTAACCTTGTATATGCACGCAGAGGGCCAATAGCCTCCAAATTCATCATACCCAGAAAGCGAAATTGAAAATCAAGACATGGGTTTTTCATCAAAAGAAGAGAAATCGAAAAGGGTGTTGAGGGGTGTAAAGACTGTGTTTTTCTTAATCACCATGTTGATTTCTCTGCTTCTGTTTTCGGCTCCGCTTCTTCTTGTTATTGCCGATACTCTTCTCCCTTCTGCTATTCTATCCGCCTCTTCTTCTTCTTCTTTGATCTCTTTGGAAGCTCTCTCTTCCCATTTCACTAACTACGACTTTCGGTACTCTCTTGTTGATATTCCGCTCATCTCCATTATAAGATCAGCTGTCATATTCTGTAAGTGTTCATAGCTTGGCAGCACTTGTTTTCCTTCCAATTTCTGTGCACAAAACCTGTTTTATATGTAAAGTTTATGTCTTTGGACCAACTAAGTCTTAATTAGTTCAACTAATCTGATTCTAATGGAATGAATTGAATTGGGTCTGCAGGCGTTTACAGCTTCTGTGACGGGCCAAGGCTTTCACATGGACCATATTTGGGGATCACAACCATGTGTTCTCTGCTATCTCTGGTGTTTGTTTCATTGAAGGCTTCTTATGTGTTTGGTGCTTCTGGTGTGGAAAGAGCAGAGTATGTAAGAGCAACCGAAGTAGCTTTGTTCATCTGCTCACTGGTTTTGGCTGTTGGGCATATTGTTGTGGCATATAGAACAAGTTGCAGAGAAAGAAGGAAGCTTTGGGTTTACAAAATTGACATTGAAGCTGTAAGTCTTTGCTCTCCTTTTCTCATATGAAATCGTATCAGTTTGGGATTTGGTTTTTTCACCTTAATTGGAAGATATCGAACTACTTAACTCAAAAGGCAAATTTATGCTCCCACCTAATTGTTTTTAATCTTGCAACAAAGGAAAAAAAATTAGTAGAATCACTCGCAAAATTATATTACATCACAAATCATACCTTTTAAGTAAATTAAGATGTTGGAGGTTCAACCACTACCACCACAGAAATTTTACTTTACTAGGAAGTTTCATTCTTTAATTGCTGACTACGAAAGGGTTGAATTATAAATTTATAATCTTCTGGAAGGTCAACATTTCTTTTTTTTTTCTTCTTCTTAAGGTAACATTGAAAACGTTTAGGATGCTTCTTTGTTACCAGAATGCTGCTTTTTGTCTATAATCCTTGCATTTTTCATGTTTGATTTTATTATTATTATATATATATATGGATTCTGAGACTCTACATTTAAAGTTGGTGTATTTTTTCGCATTTCGCTTCATCAAAACCGAAACCTCATGGATTTTTGTGAAAACACAATTTTTTCTATTTATTTTGTTTACTTCTCTTTGTCAAAATATGTCACTAGCACTACGTTCTATATTCGAGGAATCCGTGATGGGTGGCCGTTTTCAGAGATGGGCAGCTTGCTTTTTATATTTGAGTTTGTTGACCACATGCCATTCATTTGCAGCAACTCTGCCACATATTTTGTCATATCAGAATAAACAGCTTTCTGCCATGAGATTGAGAATCTTCCCACATTCATGTGCATTCAAACCTTGCTTTTTTGACAAGCCCCATATTTATACAAAATCAAACTGCAAACAGTTGATGATTTGTCAAATGCTAATGTCAACAATGTCATGTGTGTGCCAGGTTTCAGCTTGCAAAAATGGGTTCCCTAGATATCAGAAGCTCCTTCAAGAAGAAAGAGTGAAGTGAACAATCATACTTAAACGACATGAAGCAAATTTTGGCCTACCACAGTCTTAAGGGTCATTTATTTACAGGTAATTTTCATTAAGGCTCCTAAAACAGATTACTTTCCATTTCTGTAATTTGCGCTCATTGCTCATCAATTTGGTTTATTTTTTTTGGGGTGCAGATTTATTAAGACGAATCAGTGGTGCAAGGCAGAGCATCAGCCCCTTAAAACGACATGCCGTATGCCACATACTACATGTTGTAAACTGGTGGTTGTGTATATATCATTCATTATAGAGAGTATAGATAGAGGCTACCATTGCGGCAAATACGGTCTTTTTTTCTTCTTCTTTGTATTCATCAATTGTACAGTTGAAATTTGTATGGAAAAGGTGTAGTACTTAAGCAACTAGCCAAAGCTTAAGCTTTTGTGAACTTGTGCTTTGAAACCAATGAAATCGGATGTGTTCACTCCTGTACATTGCATCAAATTAGCATATTAGGTCATTACATGTGGGGTGGATCCGCACATGAATTTCGCAATCCTCGAATTCAATTCCCCTAACAAAGATTTTTTTGCTAACTATTCCCCTAACAAAGTTAGACCACCATAAATTTGACACATATATTATTATTTTTCAATGTGTTTCATTCTTGGTTGAGGTTGACACTCAATTTTTTTATAACAAGAAATAAAATTACAAGGAGGATCATCTAAAGATTTCAATATTCCTATTATCATACATAACTATTAAAGAAACATATAAAGGAAAGTGTGTAAACCAAATATAAGTATTAAAGTTGCCGTGATTAATGAAAGTTAACACTTATGGCATGTCTACTAATTCGTAATATTGATTTCTTATAAGTTGTTTACTTAAATTCTCATGAATAAGAATTGAAACTAGTTTGATTACTAGAATGCCCTTGCTGTTGGGTTATAGTGAAAGGCAAATTTGGAATTTAAAAAATTATGTAAGGATATAATGGATAGAAAAGATGGATTCTTATGGGTTAGTTATCTATGAATTAAAATATCACCTCTCACCCAAGAGTCAAATTCCTCTAAAATCCAGAGTTGAAATTCTGATTTTTTGTGGACTCCACTTACATTTCTATTCATTTATGTAAAGTAAACACATGAGTAATTTATAATTGGATTCCAACTCCTTATTTGGATTCCATAATTGAACTTTGTTATGGAAAATCATCGTTAATGCGTGAAGTTGTCATTAGATATATATTTATTTATATACAAATAATATTAAGAGGAAGAATCAAATATAAGTCTTTGAGTGCAATCCTAGCCGTGTCCGTGTCCTACTTTTTAAAGATTTTCCGTGTCGCCGTGTCGCGTTCCCGTGTCCCCGTATCCGTGTCCATGCAACATAGGTGATAAGCCCATGACATCAACCAAAACCATTTTTTGCAATAATAGAAAGCAAAAACGAATGCTGAATCAGCATGTATTATGTTTGTGTCGTTTATTCTGCATAGAAAACATTTCTAAATACCACATTTGTGTCGCCCGCGGCTGTTGTGGTGTGTGCATTGTTAAAACGCAAAGCGCTTCTATATTTCCCTCTACGCTCAAAATCAATCGCATCGCATGGTCCCCTAATATAGATTATTATAAATAAACACAATCCTAGACATGTATTTATAAAAAAAACCCACACACTATTTAAACATAGAAACACACCCCAAATCAACCCCAAAATCAACAATTGTATATTTTTTTGGTGTGTTTATAAAAGGAAAATTAGGTATTAGACATAGATAACTTTACTTATTAGTATTTAAGACATTTGATATTTTGGTTTGGGTTTTAATACCTAGAAAAGAATTGTTATTTTGGATTAGGCCAAAGAGGAAGACCAGATTTGTTGACCCACCTTACATTAGTCATTAAAAAGACAATTATACCCTTGTCATTTAAAAACCTAAACCCTAATTATACCCTTTTCAGATCTCTCTCTCTCTCTCCCTCTCTCCCCGCGTCTTCTCCCTTTCTCCTCCCCTCTGTTTCGACCGACACCGACAAAACCCCCCAGCCACTGTCACGTCGGCCACCCAGCGATCGGACCCGTCGCACCCCAAGCCAGCTCTGACCTTCCTCCTATCTCTGCTGCTGCTGTTTTGCCGGAAAACCCCAGTTTTGATCAGATTTTTACTCGGTTTTCCAATCCCTCGATCTCTCTCCTCTGGCCCTCAAATCCTTCGATTGAGGTATGATTTTCTAGCTATTTTCCACGATCTAACTGTTAGTTGGGTAAGATTTCAGAAATTTTGAGGTTTAATTGGTTAATTTCGGAGTTATTTTCCACGATGCAGAAAACGAAACTGCAATGCAGAAACTGAAATTGCGATGCAGAAAACGAAACTGCGATGCAGAAAACCGTAGAAACTGAGATTAAGAATCGGCTTCGATCGTTGGTGGTCTTCGCTGATGGTCGCGCGAATGGGTTGGTGGTCTTCGATGATCGTTGGTGGTTTGGAGGTTTCTGGAGGTGAAGTTGAAGAGGTTTCTGGAGGTGAAGTTGAAAGGTCGCGCGAATGAGTTGTTATTCAATTTTGGTTTCGGTTGATGTCGTTTTGGTTCAGTTTTGGTTTGATGTCGTTTTTCAGCTTTGGTTTAAAACTAAATACTGAAAATGGCATATGTTGTAATTTTCATATTTTGTAATGGTATTTTTGTTACATTTTGGTGTTTGGCCTTTTGCTAATTAGACTAAATTGTATTTCTTTCTATTAAATTAGTAAACTATATTATGGTTTAAAACTAAAGCTCCAGTTTATAAATGGGTTTTGAGTGTGTGTAATGATGGATTTTGGGTATGTTTATAAAATGTTTTGGGTGTTAGGTTTTTTTTATAATTTCAGCCATCATTTTGGGTGTTTTAGTGAAACCCCCTTTGGAAAACAAGACCTTCGGGACAAACAAAAACCAAAAGCCAATTAAAGAAAAACATAAAACTCAAAAGCAACGAAACGACGTCGTCCTCCACTCTCGCATTTTCTCAAAGGGAAGGGGTGTAAAGAAGAAAAGCCTCCACAACTCCAGAGCTCGAAAGAGAAAGACTGTGATAGAATGAGGTTCAGCGTCGACCTCCAGGAAGCGGAAGCGGACCCGGGGCGGTCCCCGACGCCCAAGAGAGACGAAGTGGAGTGGGTCCCGTTGCAGAACCTCCCGGTCTTCTCCTCCGCCACCGGCCCGGTCCGCGACCCGACCGCAGCTCGACCGCTCAGAAACCTCTTGGCTTGGGACGGAGCGTCTCGGCTTTACTTCTGGGACTCCGATAAGCTCTGCCTTAACCGGATCTCCATTCGCCTCGGCGAGCCCGACCAGACTTCCGTCCTCGCTGCTTCGCCTTCTAAGGTTTCCACACTTTCCCTCATTTTTTTTAAATTTGTTTGTTTAAGTCTGGCTGCTGAGAAATTGAAGGATAAGAAAGTAATTGCACTTAACTGAGCTTAGAACAGTTAGTTACCTGGCTTGGCATAGATGATAATGGAAAATGATTGTTGAAGTTGAAATTAGTATTTTAGTTGAAAATTATTCAGTGTAAAATTGATATGAAAATCTCAGAAGTGGACCAAAATTTTCAGTTATACTTATGTAGTTGAAAAGATAATTGTTTAAAGAGGATTGTAACTTGTAAGATTACACATTGTTAGTTTGAAGATTCTGGGATATCAGAAGTAACGGGTACTAAAATTAATGTGCGTGCCATTTAGTTTTTAAGTGCATGGTTGATAATGCCGGTAATTCGATAGGTGCTGCAAGCAGATGTAAATCCTGACTTTGCGGTTCAAAAAATCTCGATCAATAGGAATGGATCAGCATTGCTTCTTTCTGGTTCAGGTGGTCTATGCGTTATGTATCTTTATGGGCGTACTTCCAACAAAGACAATGCAACGATTTGCAGGTATGATGGGAAAATGGCAATACCTTATGATTTTTCACTTTCATTTTAAACATGTTGTGTTAGGGTGTCTTAGAAAGCAACTTGAGGGAGGAATGACTCCTAATGATGGTGGTTTGGATCTTATTATGACATGTTCGTCTGGCTTATTTTTATGTATTAACTCCTTTTGTAATTCCTACATTTAAAGTCTGGCATAAGGCATATATTATTTGGAAAAAAAAGGTTTATAGTAAGGCGCAATGTATGGGGTCCCTCTTCTGTACGTTCTCTTGCAACACTAAGATTTATTTTGTTCTTCCCCTCGCAAACTTCTCAATCTGATTTTTTATTTTAGATTTCGATGATATGTTTGTGCTTATTAGTCAAATACTTGCCCTGGAAATTCATGTAGTAAGCTTGTATTCCCTTGTTGGAAATGCACGTATGGATGTAGTATACTTTCTTTCTTTATTGGAGATTGTGTTGCTAATTAAAAGATTTAATGTTCCAAAATAAGAGTTCTTAATGCATCTCTTTTAAAAAATAAATAAAACCTTACAGGACTGTGACTGTTGGTTCACCAATCTACTTAAGTGGAAGCAATATCATACGTATTCTGCAAGTTTCATGGCACCCTAACAGTGACACCCATCTGGGAATTCTTTCCTCTGATTCAGTTTTCAGGTATGAAATCCTTTTCCATTCATACATCGTCAGGATAGTTTGTGTTATAACCATAGAAACGAGTAGACGTGGAAAATTATGATACAAGCAAAGGATAAAAACTTCTTAAATTGATCAATGGGTTCAAACATTGTAGATCATGAGAAGGGTTTCAATATAATGCAGTGATCACAGGAAAAGCTTGGCATGGTTTGGTTGGAAAAGAATAGGCCTGATTTGTTTAATTTTATTCTTTCTAGGCAAATTTATTAAGTTTCAATTGGTTAGGTTTATCTTATAGAGACATCCTACATAGCATGTGATTTTGTAATAAATGTAGGAAACATGGTTTGATCATATTTACTTCCTAAAGTTCTATTAGCTTGTAAATATGGTTTCTTAATCATGTCAGACCAAATAAAAAACCCATGTCCGAGTTCGGCAAATGTAACTCCGAATTTAATTTAATTATTCTGTTTTAAACAACTGGTGCCCTTCTGTTTATTTTTATTTACCTTCACTTTTTTGTAGAATATTTGATTTGTCTTCAGATCTTATTCAACCAGAGCAAGAATATTATCTACAGCCTGTGCAACCAGGTAGATCTAGGAATGCAACATCAATTTGCCCGGTGGACTTCTCATTTGGGAGTGATCATCTGTGGGACTTGTTTAGTGTAAGTTCATAGATTGCAATGCTATTGATCATGTGTTTCTTGTAAGCGTCATTTTATGTATCCATCTGTAATCTGATTTTTCCTTGAGATAGATTGTTCTGGCTCTATGGTAATATCTTGCTTGACTTTATATATTAGGATTATCTATGGCTTATCTTTGTTTTATAATAACACTTGTTTTTAACTGTTCATCTATTATATTGCTATGCTCATTCTCATTAGGCAAATTAAGTTTTTCATTTTCACCCTCTAACTGTTTTATCATGTAAATTACTTGATTCACATTCATATGCTATTGTACAGGTTTTCATTTTGTTCAACGATGGTTCAGTTTACATCCTGTGTCCTATTATACCATTTGGAAGGTAATTTATTCTTCATGTCCTGCCCTTTTGTATTATATTTTGAAATGTTTAAGGCTTATAGTTTTCTTCATAGGGGGAACTGCAGGTAGGGACCAAGGTATATTTAATGTGTTTAAAAGCACAAGAACCATGAGGGCAGTATGGTTTCAAGTATCATTTGGTGGGACACATGCCATTATGAACTATAAAGCTATATGCCGCAATTGTAGTCCCATTAGGAGCCTTTTTAGAAAAATTAGTTTATAGCGAAGACTTAAGTTGTCCTAATATTGTATTTTCTTTGGAATTCTGTGACGTAATTTTCCTCCATCTAAATATGTGTTTCTTTGTCACATATAAGGCTGTGAAGTTCTGGTCATTTCTTTGTCCGGTATTAGACATCTGTGACAGATTAAAATTGAAGATGGTCTAGTATTATAGATGGATCGAAACCATCTGACTGATAGTCTCTTCCCCTTGCATCTCTGCCCCTTTGTTTTTACCATTGATAAGCATCTTGATGTTTTCTTGGAAATTTTCATACCAGGTTGCCTGTTATATCCTAACTGATCCTTGTATTGGGTGTTGAATGTAATTAGTTTTTCTTATTTTGTGCAGTGCTTACAAGTGGGAATCCATAGTAGAGATCTATAATGATGCTCAGACATTTGGCCTGAAGTCAGCCAACTCAGTGGCTGTTAGTAATTCAAATCTAGCTATTTCTTGGTTGGAAGCAACATTTCCAGCAATTGCAGACCAAGAAACAGAAGGATCAGATCTATATGTGTTAAGAGCTCATCCTTATGCTTTATTTGATGCATCACTCTCACTGCAGGTACCTTTATTCTCTTACCTATAGGCATGTGGTAGTTGCTTGTGCTATATGGATGCTCCTGAGTAGTGCCTAAATCAGCAATGTCAAACAGGGCATGACATTATAATTAGCATTATGCGTTGGACATCTACTAATTGTGCACGATCTAAACATTGGAAAGTGATGTAAAACTTTTAATTATACTCGTACTCATACAAAATGAGGTACCGTGATTGTTTATTGTTTGATCATATTAGAGTTTTGAAAGGTTTTTTTAATAGACAATGAAGTGAAATGTGGCTACTAATTTACATGCTCTTCCTCTTGTTAGAAGATTTTCCTGCATATATGTTTGGTTGTATTGAATAATAAATCTATTCGGCCCAAATTTTGTATAATCATTTTGCCCACTTAGCATAATATATAGATTCAAAATGAACTTTAATCATTTACTACCTAGGTTTAAGCTTAATGAGAAGTAGAAAAATTATTTGGATTGTTTATTAGTGGTTTAAGCTTGAAATAGCTCTGTGGCAGCACTAGCTACAATTCTTTGAGAATTTTATTTTACTTGATATTTTTCGTAATTTGAGGAGTATCATTAATTCGTTAGATTTCAGTCGGCCAAGCGTTACAAGTTGCGGCCCTTTATCTGTGTAAACCTCTTCAAGTATATCTGAAATAATGATTGTAGGCCTACTCTATCACAGTGTAGGGTGTTTTATGTTGGCAATTTGTTTCTCAAAGATTGTGTTGTGTTTATTTCAATCTGTAGAAGTCCACAATATGACCTACATTATAATTTCCTAGGGACCCCTGAGGAAAGTGTGTCGTGATGAGGATGAAGAAGGTTCAGCCTTTCGGGGTGCAGAATGTGAAGGTGGAGCAGTCAGTTTTCTTTATAATTTAGTCGTCAAAGATTCAATTCTGGTGACTGCCTGGAGTGGTGGGCAATTGCAAATAGATGCTCTGGCTGATGAAATCCAACCGGTGTGGAATGTCGGCAGCCCACCTCGCCTTCGTGTTGATTCCAACGATCATATACGGGGTCTGGCAATGATTTGTGAGCCAACCCCAGGTAAGGTTTCACCTGTGAAGCTTAATCAACCTCTTGATAGCACTCTTTGGTTGGGGCACCCTCCCCCTCTGTTGAGACTGGCTATTGTGGATCTGGCTCTGCCTAGGAAAACAAAAGGCGGTTCTCTTATTATGATGTTTATTGATCCCCTCATGCCGGAAAGAATATTCACCCTTCATGATGGAGGGATAGATTCAATAGTGTTGCATTATCTCCCGTTTACAAATCAGATCAGTGGCAAGAATGAGACCATGAGAACTCCTTCGGTGCATCCTGTTCTAAGCACATGCCAGGGAGAAATCTCCTCGCAATCTCCACTTTCTGGTTTTGTGTCATTATCAGATTCATTCGGGTGTTCATGGATTGTGGGAGTCACTGGTTCTCGAGAATGTATCGTGCTGGAGATGAAGACTTGGAACCTGTTGCTTCCTTTTCAAGTTGATATGGAGGGCAAATCTCTTCGCCTGGAAGAACCAAAAGAGAAAGATATGCCAGATATGATAAGCAAAGAGCTCCTTGTTGGACCTAAGGTGGTTCTTGTTCCTCAGACCTCACCAAATGTGCGTTCTGTTTCTGCTGATTCTATTGAAGGTCGATCAATGCTTCATGATTACTTCAAGCTTTTTCATGAAAATTATGTGGAGTATGCACATAAGGTAAGAATATGCCAAGTGATTCACATACAAACCTTGTTTACTTGTGTCAAACCTACTTTCTTCTTGTGAAAATGGTTTATTTGTTATTTTTGGTTTTAGATGGTTTTTCTGCATTTCACAAGTTGTTTACAAGTATATGGAGCCGTGGACAGTTTTCTGCCTTTAGGAAAGGGAAGCTTTCAGCCATAGCTTGCTCACATGCAAAACATTTGCTGGTTGTAATTGCCAAATAACTTATGATACACAAGTTCTATACAAAGAAGAAAAAAACTACATTACATAAATTATTAGCAAAACCATATGAGTTTCAGCTAGTTTGTCCCTTTATTGAAAAAAAAAAACCCACATATAGCGAATTAGCGACAATTTAAGTGAGCACAATAGCTGCTACTGCATTGCTAATTGTTGTCGATGCATGTGAGGTACCATATCTAAAGTGTCTAAGAGGTCATCCAGCACCAACAGTGTCATCAAATTGTTTCTCAACCAGGCCAGATAATCTATAAGCTTTTTGAGAGGTTAAATTTATTTTACCTTGTAAATGATTTAGAAAGAAGTTGATTGGGCAATATTCTTATGTTTTCTGGATTTAGTAGTTGATATTTTACTGAATTTATGACTTTCTCCTCTTTCTAGGTTTACTTTGAACTGAAGCATCATGAACCTCTCTTGAAGAAGATAATTAATGACCAGCATGCTCGCTTAGGTGATGCACAACAGAAGCTCTTGCAAGTAGAGGAGAAACAATTAAAATTGGAGAACAGGATTGATAGTGCAATCCAGCTGCACAATGTTCTGGAGGAGCGGTTGAAACGTCTGCGGAAATTGCCTGGGCCTCATAAAAAACCATTGTCCAGAGCTGAGCGAGAGTTCAAGTCTGAGCTTGGTAATGATTTCTTTTCAACAATAAGTGCACAAATAAAAACTTTTTCAACATGAATGAGCTTGGTAGTTATGCCCTAATTCTTAGGGGGTAATTATTTTTTCCTATTTTAGTGCTCCCCGAAATCATCATAATACATTTCTGCTTAAGCTACCAGTCTATACGTTTATTTTTATTTTTTTGTTACGGCGGTTTCATATCTCGCATGGCCAGAACTGCCTGTTCACTTTTGACATACATTTTTATTGCTAAGCAGACCTCTTTTCCGGAGTTGAGTTGGACGCATTACATTCTTCCATGAACGCTTTAACTGCAAGGTTGAGAAGGCACGCACAGTCGCCAAAGGGCAATACATCAAACCAACAAAGGCTGATATCAAGGAGGAAAGATCCTGTGGAAGAATCTCAAGTCTCCCAGCTGAAATCCTCACTTGAGAAACTTTCACTGGTCAATAGTGAGAATTCAAAAAAGGTTAAGCTTGTTGAATCTGCATTAAAAAGTCGGGAAAGCAGCAGATCCTGAGACCTACGTTGTTTTTGAATCTGCTATTGAATTATGGTAACCCGGATGGATGCAAGTTTTGAACCTGTGGCAGGGCACATTCTGTCTGCCTCTCTATTAGAGGGTGTGGCATTTTGAACAGTATCTCCAGTCAAATGTTCGAGTTGAGTAGAAGTTTCTAGAAATTCAACCAGGGCCACCATCCACTGTAGTTTGCTGGTATGCTAGTAGTGGCAGATGCTCTGATTGTAGTGTACAAAAGCCCTATAGTGCTCTAGGATGTGTTTTACTGTATTTTCTTATTGCTCAATGGTTTCTTACTGAATTCTGATTCCTTGAACTTCTTTCTGATGGTATATGTTAAATCTACCAAACGATAACAATCTTCAAACATTATTAAATATGTTCATAACCTGCTTTATCAGTATTTCTTTTTTCTTTCTTAATAATCATGGCTTCCTTTCTGTTTGGAACATCAAACTTGTTTACATCAATGGCATGGCATTTGGGTTTTGCGGTGATCAATTTTTTTAGATAGCAGCAAAATGCATTGATCTGCGCTGAAAATTCTATGCATTGGTAGGTAGGTCCTACCTACCACAGACGGCCCGCCGTTTGTGATCAATGTTTCGGATTGTGGGCCCACACAAAAACACACCTGGGGGTTTGGGGCTGAATATGAATGCCAAAAGCTGGGCCTTCCTGATGAAGCAAGCAAAAGAAACATAGAAGCTGAAGGAGCTTCTTTCTGTCTTGGTGGTGGAGGATATTGAAGGGCTCGAGGACGAAAAGAACGGTGGAGGACTAATTTCAGCACCAAGACGAACGTGCAATGCGGCTAATCGGAGTTGGAAATTGGATATTTTATTATTTATCAAAAAAGCTTTTGCCAAGTTTCATTCATAAATAAATGCTGTGTTTGGAAACAGTGATAGTAGCCCCTTCAATGGTCAAAAGCACACCCTGCAAAAATCTGCTCAACTTTTTCCAACAAAATTATTTGATTTATTTATTAATGAAACTAATCTACCAATTAATTAATTAATTAATTTCATCTTATTGCTTTGGAGATCAAAGGTTATTACAGCACTTGCACTAGATTTACTGTCTGAGTTACTGTTTACATGGTGGCCCAGACCCATAATTCCTGCGCTGCACATTGATAGGGTACCTCTTCTGCGTCCTTGTGGTTGGAAAGAACACCAACTTATCGTCCTCGGCAGGAACCCAACTGCCATAATTAACATCAACAATTAGCATAAGCTCTATTTATTTAAGCATAAATATCAGATTAATTAAGATTAATACAAACCTGAAACGAGTGATTAAGTGGTGAAGGAAAACTGAGAGTTCTACTCTAGCAAGCTCATAACCAGGGCAGAGCCTAGGCCCTCCTCCAAATGGTGTGAACACATTTGCTGGGCTTGTGCTTGCTCCTGAATTGTTCTGTATTTTCATTTTTAATCACCAATTAGAAAATAATTATAATAATTAAAGAAAACATAATAATAATTACAAAGACGGGGGAATTAAATTAACTAGTACCTGCCACCTCCATGGATTAAAAGTGCGAGCGTCCTTGAAATGATCTTGGTCTAGATGTACAGCACGAAATGATGCAAAAACCTTCCACCCTTTTGGGATTGTATAGCCTGTATATTTTCGACCAGTTATTAATACTTTGTGAGTTGAATTTAATTGTCGTAGGGTACATGTTTTGTGGTTGTTGGTAAACATTATCTTGACAAATTCATTAAACTAGTACGATAATTCATTGATGCGGTGTGGTGTGGAAGAATTTGTTACCTTTGATGTGGACGTCTGTCATTGCCCTCCTAAACACCCCGCTAATTATGTTTGCAACTCGCAATGTCTCGTTGACAACCTAAACACAAACAAAACATAAAAATGAATCAACTTTTTAAGATTTGTATTTATTCAACTTAATTGAATGGGATTCGATTCATCTGTATCCACGCGTATATAGATGATTGATAACTGTTGATTCAAGTAAGTCTCATAGTGCGTTAACTGTTGACAATCACTCACACACACATAACTTAACAATACTTACGCATTGAGTGAATGGCATTGACTTATAATCACTCCATTCCAGAGTCTCTGACGACTTCTTTTTTGCCCTAATTTGGTCATGTTCCTCCTGCAATGCACAGTAAAAAAAAACAATTACCGTTTGATTCAGAGTCAAAGACAATCCAACGGTGACGCTTGAAGCATCACGTCTGTGCAGCACAAACAGCAAAACAATCCTAGGAATCGAAGAGGGTACACTCTCTAGGGTACTGAATACATTGACATCACCTACCCCTCTTTGCACCGTCGGATTTTTTCAAGGTCCTAGAAATCAGAACCACACGATTCCCAAGGACCCAGCTTCGGGACCTTCGGGTCCAAAAGCCATAAAGTAGGAAGCATGTTCGAATGACCGAAATACCCCCACCCGTTGCACGTGAAGCAAGGATAAAAACACAGAGAGAGAGAGAGAGAGGCGATGTGGTCAAAAGGACCAAATCTGATGAAAGCCTGACATTTTTTACAGGACGCCACGCAGGTTGAAGCGTGCAGTTTGGAGGGAGGGCGGGCCATCATTTTGTCCGTTGGTCTTATACGAATGTTGCTCTCTCTCTCTCTCTCTCTCTACTTTCTACTCTCTACTCTGACTTTATCTTCTGTACTTTCCTCTCTCCTATTTTTGACCACCTTTCCTGATTTCCGTAGGGGCAATTTCGTCTTTCTGATAGAAAAACGACATTTTTTTACAACCAAAATGACTATATCAGCTATATTTTATGATTATAAAAATGACATTTTTTTAATCAACCAACGTGTACAAAAACAGATAGTTCTTCTGACAAATACGTAAGTAATTATCAGCCGTTGATAAAAAGAGATTTGATAATTTATCAACGGTTGATAATCATCGATCCAAATTTATGAAACGCATCAAGAATTTAGATAATGAAAATGAGGCGTATATGTGAGTTAGCGTCAGAGAACAGTGACCCTTCCTTCCCGTCTTACACCTAAATTCGAATTTCCCTCTCCACAATTTAGAAATCCAAAGATAAGCTTGTAAGACTAATAGGCCCACTAAGGAAAAAAAAAAAGATGAGAGAGAGAAAGAAAAGCGTGGGAGTGTGGAGTGGCACCTTGAGTTGAGCCTGGGCCAGAGGTGTCTCAGTTAAGAACTTGACGGCAAGTGTCATGATTGTTGAGGTGGTTTCGTAGCCGGCGACCAGCAAAGCAAGCAAGAAATCCACAATCTCCTCGTCGGAGAATGCGTTGTCTCCACCCAAAAGAGCACCCAACATGTCCTCTTTTCTCTCCCCAGCCTCACTCTCTTCCCTCCTCTGCCTCACTATCAACCTCAATGCCTCTGCCACCTTCGTCCTAGCCTTAAGAATCATAATAATTAATTACATGATTAATTAAGGGTAAGTATAATTATGATAAAATGAAAAAAAGAGAGAGGAGGAAACTACTTTAATGGCCCTGCGGTAGGTGGTGGAAAAGAGAGGCAAAGGAACGCTGAAGAAGCCTTCAATTAGTAGGACGTACTCTTTCCTTAAACCCTCGGTCCATTCACCTGGATCAAAGCTCATTAGCTGCTTCACTGCTAGCTCAAAAGTTATCTGCACATAATCATTTATTAATTAAAAAATTCCATTAAATTTAATCCCAATTTCTATAAGAATATATGGAGGCGAAAGTGACAGAATCACAAGATATTTTATATAATAAATAATATAGATGAAGATGTACATGTGCAGCAGCTACCATGAATATGATGACAGAAAGAGAATGATTTTGTTTTTGTAGCCGTATATACTTTTAAATGTGGTAACGTGCCCCTGCATGTATGTCACCCACTAAGCCTAACTAAAGCCCATGGGATCCAAGTCACCTCCATTTCTCTTTGACGTCAACACACACAACACACAAACTTACCCTATAAGATAGATATTACTATATATTTCTCAAACGAGGTTTTCTCCCACACACTGCCCTGTAAGTCAAGATCCTTTATAATAAAAAGCAGCGAAAATATTCTTAAAAACAAAAACGAAAAAAAAACTTTGTCAAATATCTCTTTTCTTTTAATTTCAAACAAGAAAAGTGAAATGGTTTAACCAACTATCTATTGGTACTTTACCAAAGAGGTTTTAAGGTGTACCCTACCTTCTTGGCCTCCTCCATGAGAAAGACCCGGCCGGTCCAGGAATCCATGTTGAGCCGGATCAACCGGTCTATATCATCCAACAGATGGTCTCTTATAATCGGAGAGTTGGCGAAGCTCATAGTCAGAGAGTGCATTCGCTTGTGGAGGCTGCCCTTCATGAGCAGCAACGAGTGCTTTCCCAAAAGGTTGGATATGGAGCTCGGGTAGCTACACTCGAACAGCTTCCCTTCGTTCTGCAAGATGAACCGGTTCGTCTCCGGGTCGGACGAGAACACCGTCGGCTCGCCGAACACGTGGGTGGTGAATATGGGCCCGAACCGGTTCACCCTCTCGTCGATGAACGGCTCGGGATTCTCAGTCTTGTAGGCTGAGATCAGCTGCAGAGTCTCCCCGATAAGTGGCAACCCGAGATTTCCCGGAGGCAGCCTTAGCCTCCGGCATCGAGAGTTCCTAAGGAAAACAAAAATGAAGCTTGAAAGGACAGAAATAGCCACTAGAAATGAGAAAAGGAACACCATGGTGAATTTTAACTAGCTAGATAGAGAGATATCTCTAAGTATATATATAAATATTTGTTTATATGTATATCTATGTATTTGAGTGTATATATATTGGTGGTGTGGTGGGTATATATAGAAATGCGAAGGAGGGGGTTATGGAGAGAGAGAGAGAGAGAGATAGGTGTGATGGTGATATTAATGGAGGGGGGGTGGTGGGGAAGCACACGGGGGGTATCGATAATCGAATATGGATGGATGGATGGATCTGCTGCTAATAAATAAGAATCTAAGGAAGGAGGAAGGGAAGAGAGAGGAGGGGGTTGCAGGGAAAGAAAATTAATGTCGGATATTTTCGTATCTGACAACTCTTATTTTTTTTTTCCCCTTGTTTCTTTCTTTCTCATAAAACGCTTTTTTTCTCTTTCCGTCTCTCTCTCTAAGATAAGCGTCATGAGACTTTTGTTGGGGGAAATATGCAGAACGAGAGAGAGAGAGAGTAGCTGGTTTTGGTGTGCTTGATGTGGTATGGTATGGCTCGTATGAGTGAGTTGAAGTGTGCCTCTTTGGGCCGTTGGATTGGGAGACTTTGATGGAGTTTAGTGGGTTAGGATGAAAACTTGGGTGGTTGCCACTTGGGATGCTGAGTGAGTGGCAGGACAATTCACTTAAAAACCTC